AATTTAAAAAAATGTTTATTTTTCTTATATTGGTAAAATATATGTAACATAACTTTTACTATTTTAGCCATTTTTAAGTGAACAATTCAGTGTCATTAAGCATATTCCCACTGTTGTGTCACATTATGGCTATCCATTTCCAAAACTTTATTTATTTATTTATTTTCTTTTATTTATTTATTCTTTTTTTTTTTTTAATTATACTTTAAGTCTTTTTTAAATCTTGCCTAATTGCTCTGGCCAGGACTTCCAGTACTATGTTGAATAAAAGTGGTTGAAGTAGGCATCCTTACTCTCTTCCTAAACTTTATGAAAGTCTTTAAATTTCCCCCCATTTGTATGATATTAGCTGTGGGCTTGTTATATATGACTTTTATCTTGTTGAGGTATGCTCCTTCTATATCCAAATTGTTTAGGCTTGTTTTTTTAATCATAGAGATATTGAATTTTTTCAAGTACTTTTTCAGCAGCTTTTGAAACGATCATGATTTTTGTCCTTCACTCTGTTGATGAGATATATCATGTATATTGATTTATATATGTTTAACCATCCTTGCATCACTGGGATGAATCCCACTTGATCATGGTGAGTGATCTGTTTAATGTGTTGTTGAGTTTCTCATTGTTAATTATTCTGCTGTTCAAGTTTTCTATTTCTTCATGATTCAATCTTGTTATGTTGTGTATGTCCAGAAATATATCCATTTATTCTAGGTTTTCCAATTTGTTGGCACCTCGTTGTTCATAAGAGTCTAATGATCTTTTGTACTTCTGTGCTATTAGTTTTAATGTTTCCCTTTTCATCTCTGGTTTTATTTGTATCATCTCTTTTTTTCTTAGTCTAGCTAAAGTTTTGCTTATTTTGTTTCTTTTCAAAAAACCAACTTCAAATTTTGTTGATCTTTTGTATACATTACTCTCAATTTCGTTTATTTCTGCTCAGATCTTTATTATTTCTTTTTTTCTACTAATTTGGGATTTAGTTTGTTCTTGCTTTTCTAGTTCCTTGAGGTACATCATTAGGTTGTTTATTTGAAGTCTTTCTTTTTTTTGATATAGGTGTTTATTGCAAGAAACATTCTTATTAGTACTGTTTTTGCTGTAATCCATGGGTTCTGGTATGTTGTGTTTCCATTTTCAGTTGTTTCAAAAAATTTTTAGAATTTCTTTTTTAATTTCTTCATTGACTCATTGTACATTGAGGAATGTGTTTAATTTCCATGAATTTATACAATTTTCAAAGTTCCTCTGGTTATTGATTTCTAGTTTTATTCCATTGTGGTTAGAAAATATACTTGATACAATTCTGACTTTTTGAACTTGTTGAGACTTCTTTTATGGCCTAAGATATGGTTAATCCTGCAGAATGTCCTATGTGTTGATGAGGAAAATGTGTTTTTTGCCACACTTAGATAAAATCTCCCCTCCCCTCCTCTCCCCTTGTCTCCCCTCCCCTCCTCTCCCCTCCCCTCTCTCCTCTCATCTCCTGTGCCTTCCCCTAGTGCAGAATCTGATCCTCTAAATTTACATTTCCCAGACTCCTGTGCAACCACGTTCTGGATGCAAATTCGATTCATTTAGCTGCACCCGTGCAAGATCCGGAAGGTGAATATGTGAAATGTGGGGATCCTGCTCTTGGGCCTGTGGCTGCTTCAAGCATGGCCTTGAGAAATGGAGCTTTTCTGCAGCAGTGTCCCGAGTCTACTCTCTAGCTTCCTGGACACCCACAGGCAGTGGAGGTGGGGGCAGGCAGTGACCTACTCCGCTTGCCACTGGCTGGTCACTGTCTTCGCGGGTGGAGAGGCAGCCGCCATGGCCTGGACAGCAGCCTTCTGCTCTCCAGATTGCAGTGACTGTACTGAGCAGTCATATTCAGCAGGTCCCAGGGCAGCCCTTGTGAGTGAGACAAAGGCATCAGCCTTGTTAGAGAGCCAGTTAGGCAGTTATCCTGATTCCAGAGGCCCTGCCTAGAGTCCACTTCTCCAGCCCTGAATTCCCTGCATTAAATCCCTTTCTGCATAAAATATGTAGACTGATTTTGGATTTCTGCAACTGACCCTGTCAATGCATTTTGATTCCTAAGCAAAGACTAGTAACTTTTCTAACAACTCGTAACAAATGCCTCTGGGGAAGGGTTTGACCTCTCAGCCCAGATGGCCCAGGCAAGAATACAGACTATTCTATTTTTCTTGCATGATATTTGTGATTAAATGTTATTGTTAGTGTGAGGGAAGGGGATGCTTACCAAGACTAGTGGCCAGTCCTTTAAAATGTATTGTGTTTAAATGTCTACAGCAAAATATGTTTTTCTCATTAATGTGTGTGTGTGTGTATGTGTGTGTATGTGTTTTGCCATCCTCATCATCCTTTTCTGATTCTTCCCACCTCCCCTTCATCCTTTTCTCATTCATGTTCCTGTGGTTCCTTGATAATTAATCCCCTTTTGTACATTCTATATTCTAATGAAATTACCTGTTTTCTTGAATAAATCTCCAAATATATTAGAAACTCCCTGAGAACACAGACCGTGTCTTGTTCACCAGTGTATCCCCAGGGTTTAGCACAATGTCTGGAACAGAACAAAGTACCCAATACCCATTATCTCATGCATGAATGAACATCCTTCTTCCAGGTGTTATTGTCTATAAATCCCACCATGACCATTAAAGGGAATATCCCAGTGGTCAGAGTAGAGAAATTCAGGGAAATACCATCCCTTGGAGAACTGCTATAATGAGGCAAATTTCTACCTGGGTGTGAGACTTGTTATATCTG